CTTGAAGGGTCGATCGGTTTGCTCCTCTTCCCTCCTCTCCAGGGGGCGGGCGGAAGCCCAAAGTTTACTTCCAACGCCTTCCTGCTCCATGTTTCTACCCACCTCTTCCGACTGGCGTGTACAGCCGGACCGAGGTGTATAAGGTCGAGGTCGGTTCGGGGAGGGTGCCCTGGTGTTCTTCGTGCCTGTTGGGAGTTCTTCTGCCCCCTGGGGACTGGGTTACGTTCTCTCCGTGTTGGCCGACGGAGGGCCTCAAGTTCTCGAAGGATGTTCTTCTCGCGTAGGTCCAGCTGCACACGCAATTGTCACTGGGTGGGGGCCCTTTGCCAGGCTGGTTCCCTGTGGGTCGCAAGCACGGTGGGTGCACCACTGCGCCGCGCGTTGCGCGAGAGATGGCGTCGACCACGCCCCGCAGGCCGCAGCATCGTCCACTGCTTCACTGGGTGTGCCGCTGCGCCATGCGTTGCGCCACGGGGTGCGCCATGTTCCGGCTGCAGACCTCGCCTCGTCGGCACTTTTTTGCCATCCGTAGGGGGGCCCAGCGGCGAGAACGGGTGACAACAGAGCGCAGAGAAGCCGGAAACGAGGAAGGAGGAGGATAAGGAGGAGGAGGAGAAGCAAGAAAGCACAGCAGCGCCTCGTCGACACACCGCGCCGCGGGTCGGAGCGTATAGTGGGCGCGGGCCGCGTCTGCCCAGCGACAGGGCGGGGGGGGGGGGTCGGCTCGGGGCCGTCGGCGGGGGGCCTGGCCTTCCCCCCCCCCGACGCCCGTGGGGAAACGGCGGGCAGCCTGGGAGGGCTCCCCATTCACCCTCCTCCTCTCCCCTCCTCCTCTCCCCTCCTCCTCTTCCCTCCTCCTCTTCCCTCCTCCTCTTCCCTCCTCCTCTTCCCTCCTCCTCTTCCCTCCTCCCCCCTCCTCTTCCTGCTGGCGACTGGGGAGCGAAGGCCACACTTTGCTGTGCACGCCGCGGCCGTGGCCGACCGGATTGGCCATACCGTCGGCGCATGTGACGCTCGGGCGCGCTCGCCCGCACGCTCGCCATCCTTCCGTGCCCGTTTGTGCTGTCTGCTTCAACCCTGTCCTCCTTTTTCGGGCCTGCCACCTCGGAGGCAGGCCAGTCCAGCATCCAGCATCCTCCCCCGCATTCCTCCCCTCCCCCCTCGTGCTCCTCCATCTCCAGTCGGCTGCAGCCATATTTGCTCGAGGTGTTCCGTCTCGCCGTGTCGCGTACGCGCGTCACCGCGCGCTGGGCGACATCCGGCGGAGCGGTGTGGACGCGCCACGGCGCGCAGCGGATGCGTGTGAGGCAGGTGCCAGACGGCAACCCTCGTGGAGTTAGCAAGCACGCTGGGATCGGAAGCCGGGGCTTGTGTAAACTCAGGCGCCCTCACCGACATGTTGCAAATTCGACTCGACGTAAGAGTGACCTTTCGCTGGAGTGACCTTTGGTGCGGGCCTAGTGGGGCCCCCCGATCGCCGAACGCGATGCTATAGTGGAGTCTTGCGCGCCTGTGTTTGGTCCCCCCGCGGCCCCAGACAAGCCGCGCACCAAAGGTCACTCTTACCCAGGGTCACTCCCTGCGTGTAGCCGACGAATACAATCCATGGAGATCGAACGCCCCTGGCGGGTAGTACGAATGTGTCGTTGCTGGTTTTGCGGCTGGCTGTTCGAGCCTGCTTTTGCTGGAGGCCGCTTTTTATCGCCCGCGGTGAGGGCGGAGGAGATGGCTCGAGGACCAAAACGTGCTGGAGGAGAGCCTTAGCCCGGCAACAGGGCATGCCCTCGAAGGCCCGTGAGGTTGCAGGGCGATGTCCGCGCGTGCAAAAAGAGTGGCCGCGCACAGTTTCGGCAAGGCCGGCCCTGGAGCGGGAAAAGCCTGCCCGCGGGCCGCGCAGCGCGAGGGCGTTGGTCCGACAGGTGACGGCGATCGCCCTGATTAGTCCAATCGGCGACGACTACGACGACGACAACGACGACAACAACGACGTCGACGACGAAGACGAGCGCTCTTGGGGGTAGTTTTGGGGCCTCTTGTGAGGCTCCTGGGGGCCTCTTGGGAGCCTCGTGGGGGCCTCGTGGGGGTTTCTGGGGGTCTCTTTGGGGCCTCTTGAGTCCTCTGGGGAGACTTTGGGTGAGCATCTGGGGGCCTCCTGGGAGCCCTTTAGGCCCAGGGCCCGAAATGATGTCTGTTCGGATACCCCGTCTGGGCTCCCTCTTGGAGCCGTCTTGGGGGCGTCTTGGGCCATCTTGGATGTTTCTTGGGCGGTCTTGGGCCCTCTTGGGTCGTTTTGCGGCGCTCTTGGAGGCCTTTTGGGGACCTCTTGGGCTGTCTTGGAGCGTCGGGAAGCCGACAAGGCGAGAACCCCAAAGTCGTCCAAAACTGAAAATCTGTGATTTTTGCTTTGGGGGTCCTCTAGGGCTCTTGGAGGCCTCATGGGGCGTTTTGGAAACTTCTTGAGCTGCCTGGAGGGTATTTTGGCGCCTTGGACCGACAAATTCGGCGATTCGGGGCCCTCGAGGTCCGTCTTGCGGGCCTCTTGGGGCACTCTTGCCGCGTCTTGGGGCTTTCCTGGGCCCCCGAACCGCCCTGGGGGGATGCGTACCCATGGGAGGCGAGCCCTCCCGGGACCCCCCCCCCGGGGACCCTCCTTGGGACCCCCCCTCCCGGCGGGGAGGAGGTCTAAGGGAAGGGGCTTCCCTTCGACTCAGCTGCGACGTTGCTCAATGTCGATTCAGCTGGCGCGCGAAAGGAGGAGGGCCCAGGGAAGGGAGACGGGGGGCGACGGAGACGACGATCGACAGAGACGACGGGGAGACCGCGGCGACGCAGACGACGACGGAGACGACGAGGAGACGACGGAGACGACACGACGACGAGGGCCCAGGGAAAAGAAACGGGGGACGACGGAGACGACGATCGACATAGACGACGGGGAGACCACGGAGTCGCAGACGACGACGGAGACGACGAGAAAACGACGGAGACGACACAACGACGACGACGACGACGACGGCGACCAACGGAAGAGCTTCTCCCACACGCCGACAGGGTCGGCGGATTTGGGCCGTGCAGGAAAGGGCCTCGCTTGACGGGGATCGAGAAGTGGACCTCCCTGCCTCCGCGGAAAGCTACGGATGCGGAAGTTCCATGGCGGCGGGGCCGCCGCCAGAAGCAAGAGGTGGCCTTCCAAGAGAGGCGCATTCTCGTGTGGTTTGTGGATTCCAGAGAGAACCTCCTCCTCCTTCTCCGCCTCCTCCTCCTCCTCCTCCTCCTCCTCCTCCTAGTGCTCCTCCTCCTCCTGCTCCCCCCCCTCCTCCCCCTCCCCTTCCCCCTCCCCGTTCCCCAGTGGCGCAGCAGGGCCAGCCGCGGCTGCCGGCGGGGCAGCCCGAGCGGGGCCGGTCTCGGTGCGGCCCCGGTGCTCCGCGGGGAGGCCGGTGGCGGTATCGCCCGGAGCGGAGCGGCCGTGGGCCGGAGCGGCGCGCTGCCCCGCAGCGGCAGCGGGGAGGCAGGAGTGCCGGGAGCGGAGGTGCGGGTGCAGCGTCCGCCACGCGCAGAGGGGGAAGGGGAGCGGGAGTGGGATGGTTTAGACCGAGGGTTCGGAGGAGGAGGAGGAGGAGGAGGAGGAGGAGGAGGAGGAGGAGGGGTGGGGGAGGATCAGGGGCAACGGTACAGGGTCAAGTCGGGCATGTCCCTCGACAGGGGATGTAGTGAGAGATAGGGAAGAAATTGTCCGGGGGCGATGTTTCGACTCTTCTTGAACATTTCGGGGTATTTTTGACTACTTTCATTCTTCGTCCAGAAGTCCGCCTGTAGGGGGACACGCCCGGCTTACCTGTGCAGCGTCAGCCACGCGCAGAGGCGGGTTGGGGGATCAGGGGCAACGATAGGGGGGATAGGCATAGGGGGGATGCATCGACCCGCAATCGCCTATTGATCGCCGATATAGGGGCCAGATAGCCCCAACTTGCCCAGGAACGTTCGGATTCACGCTCAGAGGCCTATCGCTGATGCATCGGCGATGTATCGTCGATTCCAGGTCGATGTGTTCCCCCTATGCCAGTCCCCCCCTGTCGTTGCCCCTCAGGGGAGGGGGGATGGCTTCTTCGAAACACCCCTGCTTCTTAGAAGGCTCGGGGCCGATCTATAGATGCAAGGCTGGCGCCTTCTGAGAAGCAGCCTCCTAAAAAGCCTTCCCCCTCCCCTCACCCCCCTGTGTGCGCCGCCAGCAAATACACCGCCTTGAGAGCCGATCTCCCAGGACGCCAGGGAGCGGCGGGAGTGTGGTACGCATTCCGCCCTCGCAGAAGGAAAGGTGAAGGAGAGCAGAGGAGAGGGGGGTGAACTGGGAGGGCGGAGGAGGGGGAGGAGGGAGGGGGAGGAGAGTGCGGTGGCGGTGGCGGGGAGGCGGGAGGCAGAAGGATACGACGCGTGGATTGTTCGGGAGAGGGGCCGGGAGGCCTGATGACCCGTGGGCCCTGGTCCAAGCCTCGAGTGGCAGCGAAAAGGGGGGATCGAGGATTGCAGGGGGGACTGGGGAAGGTGAGCAAAGAGCGTTAGCTTTGTAGAGTCGAGGGGGATGTTGGAGGATCGCCGAGCGCGTTCCACTACTCGCAAAGTGCCTTCTCGCAAACGTCAGAAAAAAACACGTTCGCCTCGATGTAATATATCATAGATCCCCCACAGCGGATCCAGGCCATTTGCGAGTAGTGCCTTTGCGAATAGCGGAATGCGCTTGCCTAGAGGAGGAGGCGACGGAGGAGAATGAACAGAATAATGAAGTAGGAAGGGGGGGAAGGAAGCAGGTGAAGGAGAAGCAGGGATCGGAGCAAGAGGGGGAAGGGCGAGGAAGACGAGCGGGAGGGGACGGATGATGTTGAGGAGGGGGACGATCCATCGGGCCAGAACCGCGCAGGGAATTGTTTCCAGGACTCGTGGTGCCTACCCGGCTGCGCTTCTGAAGCTCCTCGCCGCCGGCCGCTGCGGCCCGATGTGCCCAGGCCGCGCGCCCCCTTCTCGGACCCGTACTGCGTGTGCCAGCTGCAGGGGAAGCCCAAGATGAGGCGCGCGGCGGCTGCGCCGCTGCTAAGAGTTACCGCTCTCTCTCTCTCTCTCTCTCTTTCTCTCTTTCTCCTCCTCGTCTGCATACGCCTCAAGACCCCCCTTTACTTTCCTATCCGAGCCACCATTCTCTTCGTTGAGCTCGACGTTGCAAGGCTGGAGTCGCTTGAAGCTCGACTGGAAGTCTTCGTCTTCACCCCCCTCCGGTTCATCCTTCTCATCCTCCGACCCCTCCTCTCAATCCTCCCGATCCTACTCCTCCTGTCTCTCGTCTTGCCCAGCTTTTCCCGCTCACTGCGCTGCTGCTCCGCCTGTGCTCCTGCTCCTCCCGCACGATGAGGCAGGCGCTGGAGACGCGATGCTCGATCACTGGGAGAGGCTGTGCGTGATGCCCGAAATCCGCGAGGGGGAGCACCGCCGCTCGTGGGCACGCAGCAGCGTGCCGACGTGCCCGGCCACGGCGCCGGACGGGCGCTGCCGCAGGCCGGGGCGACGCTCTGGCCGAGGGAGGGGCCTCGCGCTCCGGAGCTGCCGGTCGGCCGAATGGGGCTCGAGGCGCCGGGCCACGGCGGAGGTGGGCGGCAGCAGGGCGCAGCGCGCCAAGGAGCGTGCGGGGCAGTGGGAGGCAGCCGCCGGGAGGCAGCGGGTCTGGCGCCCAGGGTCACCACGGCCCGGCGGCGCCCGGGGCCCTCGGGGAGGTCTTGGCGACGGCGGCAGCGCCGAATGAACGTCTCGGCCCCTCCCTCGACGGGGGATTCGCGTCCTCGCGCGCCCCCGTCGTCGTCACCCCGTTGTCTTTTCTCCTCTTCTCCCCCCCTTTGCCTCCCCCTCCCCCCCTCCCCCTTCCCCTCCATCGTCCCGACGGCTCGAAGGACACTCCTCAACACTCTCCGACACGCATGTGCCGTGGCAGCTGCACCGTTGGGCGCGGAAGCGCGGTGCTCGCGCAGCGCGGCAGCGACAGAAACGCGCCCCCGCCGCCCCTGCGTTTTCCTCCTCCGCAGCGTGGCGTCCACTGGTCAGCACGCGCGGGAATGGCATGCATGCTTGGGACGAACATGCTCGAGCCAAGGTCGTTGTGGCTCGGGCCAAAGCGAGAACATGGAAGCAGCCGAGCGAGTGGCGTTCGCCGGACCTGGCATGCGCGCTTCGTCCTTGGCTTCCCGCCGCACCGGAGAATGGCACAGAGAATGGTAGGGAGCAGGGGGGGACCAGAAGTCAAGGGAGGAAACGCCACCCGGACCAGACAATTGTCGACGGTTACTTAACGACCCTGGGCGTTTACTAACCAGACCTGGGTGCTTTACTAATCGGCCTCGCTTGTCGGAGTGGGTATTCTGGGGGTGTTTTTTTCTGTCCTCTAAGAAGAGGCTCTCAACAGCAACGGGGCAGCCGTCTGCAGGGTGGGGTACGCAGGGAGGAGCGGCAGCAGCTCTCGGTCGACCCGAGGCGGACTCTTTGTCTGGCCGTGGCCCTCGAGAGGCTCGGGCCGTGGTGAGAGGAGAGGCCGCCGACGTGAGCCTTGATGGCCCCGATCGCTTCAGCCTCTGCGCTGTTCTTTTTGGGCGACTCTACATTTAAGTCGGGCGTGCCCCTCTACAGGAGGAATATTCAAAAATAGTTGAAGCAGAATCTGGGGAAGAATTTTGTATTATTTTCGTGACTATTATCGAATACGTTTGATCATGCTTCATGTTTGATTATTTGGGAGTTTTTCTAGATTAATTGTTTATTAATACGAAACTCCCCTGTAGGAGGACACGCCTGACCTAACTCTACATCTGAGAGTGTTCCTGCGCCTCCTGCTCATCCGCCTTCCTGCTCCTGCTCCTCGTGCCTCTCTTGTTTCGGATCGTGTAGGTGATCTTGCTCCTGCTGCTCCGGCTGCTGCTGCTCCTCCTCGGCATTCTCACCATCTTCAGCGACCCCCCCGACCATCGTTGTTATCATTCCCCTCGCTCTCCTCCCCCTTCTCCTCTTTCCTCGTCCTCCAGCGCCTCATGATTACCCTGTTCCTCTCAATCACCCTTCCCGTCCCGGTTTAGCACACTCCTCCCCTCTCCCCACCCATCATGATTTTTTGTTTTTGTCATCTTCCGCTTCGTGATCTGGATCATCTCTCCTCACCCTCCGCCTCGTTCGCCGCATGGGGCTAACTCACGCAGCGAGCTACATGGTACACCGAGCTAATTAACAAAGGCAGCCACGTAGCTGCAAGTAGCTGGGGCAGTGCTTAGTTGGGGCAGCCAGGGACGTGGGGCAGCGTGCTAATCTAGGAAATCAGCAAATCCGGGCAGCCAACCACTTAGGACAGCCAGCTCATTAAGGCACTCGTCTCGTTAGAGTAGACAGCGAATGTGGGTTGCCAGCGAATTGTGGCATCCAGGCATTAGTGGGGCAGCCAGCCGCTAACTGGAGCGTTTTTTTTTAGCATCCAGCCACTTGGAACAGCCAGCCAACGCGGGGAGCCATGTAAGTCAGATGGTCAACCAATCGTGGCAGCATTATGCTAGGGGCTGCTAGCTAAATTGAAAGAGCCAGCCCATTTGGGCAGCCAGGTAGTCGGATTATTCCGCTGATCTGGGTAGTCACCTCATCGGGACAGCCAGCCGATCGGGGCAGCCAGGTAATGTGTACAGCTTGCTACTTGGGGCCGCAACCGAATCAGGGCAGCCGGCTAACCAGAGTCGCCCACCCCACGCAGGCGTGCAAAACAGCTGCTAAGCGTGGCAGCTGCCCGTCAACAGCCGCGTAAACCAGCCACTTGGATGCCTCGTGACCCGAAAGAGGTGCTCGGGGCCCCCCACCCCGCCCAGTCCACTCGCGTGGACTCTCGCGCGCGGGTATCTCTGTCTCTGTCTCTGTCTGTGACCTCGGGGCAGCCACCCAGAACTAACCCCCTGGAACAGCAGCCCCAAACAGACCACCAGAGACAGGCACCCAAGCCAGCCATCTCAAGCTGCCATGTGCGCAGGGGCCCGCGCATGGCGGGCTCTGAGGTCTAGTCGGCCCGCCCCCGCATTGAAGGCAGGACGTTGTTGAGCACGGAGACAGCTGCGCACGAGTTTGTCAAAAAGCCACACCATGAACAGGATTCCATTCATGAGATAATTTCGGGTGTTGGTGAAACTCGCACGCCACGTGACAGAGGTCTTGGAGAACACTTGGAACGAATCGTCAGTTCGACCAGAGGCATCAAGACGGGGCTGCATGTTCGAACGGGTCTACGCGTGATGTGGTTTTTCTTGACAGCCGCTTCGGGAAGCACGGCCGATTTCTTGAAGGCTTCTTTAGGATTGCCGCCTCCTCATCATATATATCAATCATTGCTTGCTTGTTGCTTCATCTCGGGCTTGTGTCATATCCGTGCGCATTCCTCGGCGCATCCGTGTCCCCTGCCTTCTGCTGGCGAGGTTCCGGACGCGGACCATCACGGACTGCCGGACGCCCATTTGGAATCACAGGACGCGCGGGGCTGGAGCCCTTGAGCATTTTATTTGCCCCCTTTAGACCAGTTTGTCGCGCCAAGTTGGTTTCCCTCCCCCTACATCCTCCTTCTCCCCTTGCTCCTTCCTCGCATCCTCCTGCCCCCCCCTCCTCCCCTCCACCTCCACCCTCCTCCCCTCCCCCGATTCACCCCTTCATGATATGTCTTGTGCTCCTGATCCTCCTCCGACTTCCTGTTCTCCCCTTCCTCTCCCCAGTCAGATGCATACTGCATACTGCTGGCAAAAGAGTCGCACCCCTCCCCTCCAGATGCTGCCCCTCTGCCCCCTCAGCGTCCTCGTACTCACGGTCCTCACCAATGCCCCTTTTTTCTCTCCTGTTCTTTCTCTTCCTGCCCATTACAGATTCCTCTTCGCTCTTGTTCCTCTCCGCTCTTCGCTATTCCTCCTTCCTTCCCTTCGCCCCTCCTCCTCGTTCTGCTCCCCCCCACGGGCTCCTCTCCGCCTTGTCGCCGGCCGCACACATGCTGTTGTGCGGGGAGCCGCCAAGGCCCGCCCCCTTTTGAGCGCGCTGAGCGCACCTCGGCGACGTATACCCCACCGGCCCGCCGCGCGTGCCCCCCCGGCCACGGAGGTGCTTTGTTCCCGGAGGATGGCATGGCAGGGTTTCCCCGCGCGGTGCGTCTCCCCAGGCCGTCTTGTCCCATGATCACGCCGCCTTGCTAGAGGTTTCCTCTGCTTCGCCCCGAATTCTCGGCGCCACGGCGCCGCCGCTCCGCTCCCAGAGGGACCGCGCCTCCGGCGTGTGTGTGTGAGCGTCCACTCCATTCCGCTCCCACATGACGGCGTGGCGAGGAGCGCGATTCGCTGTGAAGTTTCAAATGTTGTGTTCGCACTCGTGGGGCAGGTCTGTGCGGGGCTGCACTCGTGGACGGGTCATGGCGGGCGAGCAGCGGGCATGGCTCGCCACGACTATGAGGACAATGAAAAACAATCGAGGCACGTCAAGCCAAAACAATGAGGCCAAGACTCTTGGACGTGGCATGACAAGCCAAGACAATGGGGAAACGAGGGCGATGCCAAGACAATGAGGACGGCATGGATGGCATGCCGGGCGAGGTCTCGCCTGGGTCCGCGGAGGGCGTCCCTCCGCCAGATCGCCGGGGCCCGCGCAAGAGGCGGCAGCTTCGCAGTCTGCAGACCCCTGAGAGGGCGAGGTCTTCGTCTGGATCCGCGTTGGGCTTGACCAAGATTTTTCGAGATCGCTTAATCTCGAACGTTCCAATCCTCTTACCTTGGCCCATCCCACCTCCCTGCTTCCCACCACGGCCTTCTGGGCCATTCCGCAGAAAGTGTCGCAGCCTATTTTCCACCCTCCTTCTATGACCAGTCCGGCTTCGCCAATATCCCGTGCTGACTTCTCACAGAGATTCATCACGTCACCACCCCGCTGAACTTCCTATCCGAGGCGGGGATTTATCCATGACCTCCGCCTAGGGGATCGATCCTCGCGGACCCCCACAGACGGTGGATATTGATACATTCGGGCCTCCGGGGGGCCAAACTATATCCACATCCACCGCCCGCTTGGGCACCAGGACGTCGGTTCCCAGGCGGTGGACATGGATCAATTCCCGCCTCGCATCCTAGGAGGGCACGTTTCGACGGTTGCGCAGTTCGCGGCGCCCCTGTACTTGGCGAGATGTCCAGTTCGGGCCCGCGCTTAGAGCTCGATTTTTCTACGGCTCGCGACAACGCCCGTCACAAAGGACGCTCACCCCTCTTCCCTCCTGTGGTAACGCCACGATTCTCGCTGGCGCCGTTTGAGAACGGCTAAGGTTAAGTCGGGCATGTACCTCTACAGGAAGAGTATCCAAAACTAGTCAAACAATAACCCGGGCACGTTCTTGTTGTTACTATGTTGCTTGCTCTTGAATATGTTTTGAGCATTTTTCAAGCATTCGTCCACGATCCGCCTGTAGGAGGGCATGCCAGACCTAAGGCTAGGGGCAGCAACTCCCAAACGGCGCCGGCGCGAGTCGTGACGTTCCTGGCCCCCGGCCGTTTAGCCACAAAAGGACAATCAAAGGCGTCGGGGTCTCGCTTGGATGCGCGCACGTACAGCGCCATTCCGCTGGACCCCACCAGAGGCCCACGATGATGGCAGCAGTTCTGGCAGTTCGCGGCCGGCAGGGGCGGCGAGGTATCGCTTGTGTGCCCTAGCAGGACGCCGCTCGGCTTCAGTCGGGCATGTCCGTGTGCAGGAGGGATATCCCCAAGTAGTCAAAAAATCTAATGGGGACGATCTTTCTGCTATTTTTGGTTTTTTTTGATCATTCCTGGGCTATGCTTCAACTTTCGCCCCAAATCCGCCTGTAGGAGGACATGGCCGACCTAACACTCGGCTGCACCTCCCAGGCCGCCACGAAAGTGACGGCAGGCTCGCAGGTCGCAGCTGCCAGGGACGGCGAGGTCTCCCTCTGATCTTGCTGGCACCGCGCTTCCCTACACCCTACAGGAGCCCATGAAGGTGGCGACGGGTTCGCAGCGCGCAGCCCCCGGGCACGGCGAGGTCTGATTCTGTCGGCGTGGAGCCGCACTGCGCCGGCTCAGGCGAGGTCGAATTTAGATTCGGACATGAAGCTACCCCGCTGGGCCGAAGCCCGCGACGGTGGGGACGGTGTTTGCGGTTCGCAGCCCTCCAGGGGCGGGGAGGCGAGGTCTTGCTCGAATCTCTAGGACCGCGCTGCACTGGCCCCTCCAGGGGCCCACGAAGGTGGCGACAGTGTTGTAGGTCGCAGCTCCCAGGCATGGCGAGAGCTAGTGCAGGTCTGGATCAGGTCCTGTCTGCCCACGCTTCTTGGACACCACAGGAGCCCACGAAAGTGGCGACTGGCTTTTCACAGGTCGTAACATTCACGGATGGCCAGGCTTAGTTCAGGTCTGGATAGGGCCGCGCTTTGTTGGACATTCCAGGTGCCCTTGAACATGACGTTAGTGTTTCAGTTCGCAGTGGCCAGGCACGGCGAGGTCTAAATCAAGTCTGGGCTGTGCTACGCTGGACCCCTCAGGAGATCACCAATGTGGCGACAGTTTTGCATTGCGCCCCCCCAACCCCAGAGGGACGGCGAGGTTTATTTCAGATCTGTAAAGGACCGCACTGCGCTGGCTCCTCCAGGAGCCCACGAAGGTGGATTTGATTTCGCAGCTCGCAGCCCCCAGGGATGGCGATGCCTAATTCAGGTTTGGTTTGGAGCGCACGGTGCTGGACCCCCAAGAGCAAACGAAAGTGGTGGTAGTTCCGCAGTTTGCACCTCTTCCCCAGGGACGGCGAGGTTTATCTAAAGGCTTCCGTCTCTGCCGCCGACCCGAGAGAGCTATTGAGCATTGGCAGACCGATCCCCGTCCCCAGGATGGCATGATGCCAGGGTTTCTTGGCCCCAGCAGCCTGCCCCATCTTGCGGGGGATGGATGCGGATGGATGCCGTGAAATCCGGTGGAAGTCGGGTGGGGGGTCCAACAACATAGTTCCCAGGGTATGGTGGGAGTGTCGGACCAGGTCGACAGCCAGGCGGTTTCAGGCGAGGGTGTGTCGGACCAGGCCGACGGCGCGGCAGTTTCGGGCGAGAGATTGTCGGGTGGGGGGTTCGAAGAATGGAATTCCCAGAGCAGTGTAGGGTATCCGACCGGGTCGACGGCGGGGCAGTCTCGGGCGAGGATGTTGTCGGGTGGGACGGCCCAAGACCAGATGTTGCAGGGCAGGGTGTCGGACCAGGTAGACGGCGGGGAGGTTTCCAGCGAGAAATTGTCGGGTGTGCGGTCCCAAGAACAAAGGTGCCAGGTCATGGGGTGGGGGGTCAGACCAGGTCGCAGCTGGATGGCTTCGGGCGAGAAGTTGTCCGGTCGGGGGTCTCAAGAACAGAAGACAAGAGGTCCTCGGGCGGGGTGTGGGGGAGGGGGTGTCGGACCAGGTCGCCAGCGGGACGGTTTCGAGCGAGAACTTGTCGGGTGGAAGTTTCAAGAACAGACGTCCCAGGGCAGGATGGGGGTGTCGGACCAGGTCGACGGCGGGAAGGTTTCAGGCGAGAAATTGCTTGGTGGGGGGTCCAACAACAAAGGTCTCGTGGCAGTGTGGGGGTCTCGGACAAGTTTGACGGCGAGGCGGTTTCGGGCGATAGATTGTCGGGCGTGGGGCCCCACGACGAGAAACCCCTGGGCAGGGTGGGGGTGTCGGATCAGGTCGACGGCGGTCAGGTTTCGGCAGAGAGATAGCCCGGGGGTGTCCCACAAGCAGAAGTTCCAGAGCAGTGTGGGGGGGTCGGACCAGGTCGCCAGCGGGATGGCTTTGGGCGAGATGTTGTCGTGGGGGAGGTAGTAGGAACAGAGGACAAGGGGTCTAAAATGGCAGGGTGGTGGCGGGTGTGCCGGACCAGGTCGACGGCGGAGCAGTTTCGGGCAAGAGTGTGTTGAGCGGGGGGTCTCAAGAGCAAAACCTCCAGGGCACTGTGGGCCCCACCCATCCTCCATTCCTCTCCCACCTCCCCCTCTCCTCAAATCCCCTCCCGCATCGAGGGGGGACTTGACTCGGCTTCCCTTCTTTCGAGTGCAGAGCTGGCGGCTGTTTTCTCTGGCTCCCAGCGGCTTCGTAATGTATCACATCAGGGTGACATCTCTATGGAGCTTTGCCTGCGTGGATATTGTATCGTGCCTTTTCCCTGGCATGTGCTGCAGGAGCATCCTACTTCACATCCGTCTCATCCTCATCTTGTAGCCATTGGATTCCAGTTGAGTGAGATTGGGACGAAGGCCCCCTGCGCAAGACATGTGTACTGCTGGCGCCTCCACTTCTCTACTCCTCATCATGTATAATCAGGTGGAGTCCTCTGCAGATCCAGAGCGGTTCCCTGCGCAAGACGCGCGCTGCCGCAGGTCGTGTGCACCAGCCCGAGAAGGAGGAGGGGGATGCCGAGTGGTTCTGTCATCACGGGACGGCAGTATTTTGGGCGGGGCTAGAACGAGGGTAAACCCGTTCCAGAAAGTTCCGGAACTCTCTGAGAGTGTTCCGGAACGTTCTCGGAAGGGCCGCGGCGCCCGAGACATCATCCAGAGCCGCCGGATCTCAGAGATTCTCGCTTTATCTTCACCCGAGTTTATCCTCACCCTGGCGTCGTCTTAGTCTTGGCAGGACACTCGGGAAAGAATTGAGCCCATGGTTCAGCACGAACGACCTGGGTACGGAAAGAATTGGTACAATGCCCAACAGCGGATCTTGTTCATTTTGAACCGGACTCGCTGTCCACGCCGCCGCGGCCTGTGTCCATTTGAGACAGAAGGCCGCCTGCCCAACAGCGGCCGCTGTTGGTTCGGGACAACATTGGTTGTTGGGCATTGTACCCAGTCTTTCCATACCCACTTCGGGCGTCCAAAATGGTTCACTGACGGGAAGCATCGTTTGTGCGGCCCCCCCCTTCAGCTACGTGTTCACGGACTGGGGCCCGCACGACGAGGTGCAGTTCAAATTGCTGGATGAGGATGAGGAGGGCTTGCTTTTGATCGCGCGACTTGCCATCCCTCACCAGCCTCGAACGTATCCCTATCCCTAAGATTGACACGCCAAAAGGCGCTGACAATCTCAGGGATGCGCCCTCAGAAACTAAGGGAATCCCTAAGGTCGGCATCGTGATGAGACGATGCCCAGCATAGGGATAGGGATATGTTCCAGGCGGGTGAATCCCGCTTCCGGTCTTGCATATGTGCGCCGCCGCGCTCGGGGGAGCAGTGTGACAGAAATGTTGGCATCGATGTGCGATTGTAGAGTTGCCACTTGGTTGTGGTCGGGAGCTCTTGCGGGTCTGCCAGGGGGGCATCTCAGAGGGCGCGTTCGGGAGTCCTGGGTTGGCCTGTGGCCGTCTGGGACGACCGAAGGACGCCTGAGATTGTGCGAAGTGCAATCCTCGAGATCCTGCGGTGATAGGGCATGCACGCTTTTATTCTTCGGGGCCCTGACATTTGAGGAGCCTCGTGGGGCTTCTTGCTATCCTATCCAGAGCCGTCGGCCCGTCTTAGCGACATGGTGCCGTCAGGAAAGGGGCTGGGGCGTCTTGCGCAATCTGGCGGCCGCCCTGAAGTGGTCCGATGATGGCCATGGTCAGGTGTTGGAACATCCAGGATCCGCCTTGGGCAATTATTGGGAACGTCTTGGGACAGATTGGGGCCTGTCTTGAAACCTCTTCCTTTGGCCGAGATGCCGTCTAACCAGCAACCAAGCACAGGGTAAACTGAGCATCGTTCCTTCTGGGTGAGTCTCAAAAGTGTCGGGGCTTGGTGCCATCACAGCGTGTCTCCTGGCATCTGCTTTGCTGGCAGGGGGCATTGCATTGTGAAAGCGCGCAGGGCTCGACGCATGCCTACCTTTGCACTGCAAATCCCAATGGCCGATATTTGAATTCCTCGGCCTATACAGTGGGGGGCCATATCAAGAAACACCCTGCTTGCCTCCAGGGTGCCTTGGGCCTCTTGGGTTTCGATGGTTTTGCGATGGAAAGCGTGACGTTCCTGTACCAAAATCGATGGATTTCCTGGGGTCTCAGGTCTGGGTTTCTTGTGGAAGGTTTCTTGTGGAGTGGCCTCCACTGTATATTCAAGTGCCTGACGCCACTCCGCCGCTCCCCAGAAGAGGAGCCATCTCCACGCGGTGTTTGCTAGCTTCTCGTAGGAGCTTCGCGGGATGCTTTCTGCGAGGGTCCGCAGGCCGTGGAGGCTCTTACCATGGGCCGTCTTTTCCATGCAGGGAGGTGTTGGATGAGAGGATGAGGGGGCAGAGGCTGCGAGGGGGAAGGGGAGGAGGTGGAGGAGGGGGAATGCCCCGCCCTGCGCCATCCCCCTGATGGCATCGTTCCTGTCACTGACGGTGCGCGGCATAGGAAATGAGAAAAATGAGACGAGGCTTCTTGAACGTCGCTTGGGGCTTGTTGCGGGGTTTCTTGGGGGCCTTGCGGGTCTCGGGGGTATTGGAGGAGCCTTTTGACGTTTTCTTGGGGCGTTGTGGGGCCTTCTGGAGACCTCTTGCGGGGGCAGCGCACCACCGCACGCGCAGCGTCAACATCAGCAAGCGGGTGTCGGCGGATTGTACGTGCACGAGTCCTCCCACATGCAAATCCACATGCGCACGCACATCTGTACGGTCACCCTTCGGGAGACCCAGAGGCGGTTGTTGTTTGGCTCCATTCGGCTTGTGATTCGATGCTCTGCGGATTGCTGATCAACCCTTTCTTCGAGTTCGTACCATTAGTCTACGACCTTCTGGATAATCTACTATGTTCAAAGGTTTCGAGCTATCTCACCTCTTGTTCTTCACTCGTCCAACATGGCCAGTTCATTATAAATAGTATTCTTCAAACTGTCTTGATATGGAATGTCTGCTAACAGGCTTACGACATATATATATATACGCATATAAATATATATATATATATATATATATATATAGAGAGAGATTGTCTAATACTGCCGCCTGTCATACAAACTATAGTTCGGCTCGTCTAGCTCGTCTGCCCTTTCTAACTATTTCAAGCGGTGCGCGTTTCTAATGTTTATTATCCGCTGAGCAATTGTAACTATTGCCTTCAGTCTACCCCTTCCAATACTTCAGCTAGCTGCCCCAGCGGTGCAAGAATAGGTTCGTTTGGCAGGCCCCAGGTGAGGCCGTCAAGAGCAAGCACACACGGGTGACGTGGAGGAGACAAGCGAACACGAACCACGCACCCTGGAGGATACGCACATGGCGCGACGACAGAATGAGGGAAGCTATATACTCGGATCGGATGTAAGGGTGAGGGGGGTATGGAGTCGAGAGATGAACGAGTCGAAGAAGGAGGATATGTGGACATCTGAACTAGTTTAACAGGGGAACAACGCATAGCAGTCAAAGTGAGGAGCCGTTCCACGAGGGTCCTGGACATGTATACTAGCGGGCACCTGAGGACATCCGCGATGGCTCTCTAGGGCGTGCGCTCCTGTCTTGCATAGCCTTAGCTGTGCACCCCTTGTGCGTACAAGCAGATGCCGAACCAGAGAGCACCCTGGCAAGGTGTGGAGGGAGCAGGGCGCGAGCGTATCGCCTGGCACCCCCTCCGAGGCCTGCTGTCGGCGAAAGGGGGTAGCAGGTGGAGTGGACACGAGCTGGACCGCAGGCGAGCAGAGAACGCCGCGAGATCTCTGCGGACGCTCGCTCGTGTCGTGTGGCCGTACGTGCAGCTGCCACTCCTCCGCGCCCTCCTGCTGCCTCGGCCGGGCTCCTCGTCCACTCACCCTCGCAGGACAAGAGCAGCGGGGCCGACGACGTCTTGGGCAACGCGACGTTCACGAGCCTCCGCTGCTTCTCTCTGGTCTCCGCTTTCTCGGTTTCCGCTTGTCAGCGACTCTTTCGCTTTTGCTTCGTGGCATTTGTGCACGCCTGCGGCGGGGCCTCGGCGACGCCATGCTCCAACATCCAGACCCCCGGCATCTTGGCATCCGCACGAACTTTGCAAGCATAAGTCAGCGCGCGCATGCCGCTCTAAGTTTGCAGTCCATGCTGCTTTCCGTGAAGCTCGGAAAAGCAGGGAGAAGTACGGGTTTGGAGGGATGGACTCGGGAATGGGTGGTCTGGAGGAGGGAGAAAGAAGGCGAGCTGGAGGACGCATATTTCTTTCTGCGTATGTATATTTACACACGTGGGAACGAGAAGGGGGAGGTCATGATGGTTGTTGTGGAGAGCGTCGTAGGGGGGGTAGGCGGGGGGAGAGGGGAGGATGAGATTGGGCGAAGAAGGCAAGGGCGAGCGGTGAGGAGGAAGGGGTTGGCGAGCAGGGCCAACGGCGCGGGGAGTGAACCTGGGATGGGAAGGGGGGAGGGGAAGGAAAAAAGAGTGGCCGCTTGGTGCCCGGGCGGAGGAGCGACATGCTGGACGAACATGCCGCGTTCTCAGGGGTGCTGCCCCTGCAGGACCCGGCGGGCGG